CAGCCGTTAAAAGTTAATTTCAAACTGGAGCGTTATTACTTAGATGAGTAAATTTAAAAGCAACTTATTGATATCCGTTATTAAACGGATCTGTATTTAAGAATAGAAGCAGTTTGTAGTACTATTTTCTAAAGAGAATGCTAAAGAAAATTCTCAGTATAGTGTTGAACAGAAAGTAGCGTCTTGACATAAATTTGTCTATTTTCCTTGAATTCTTAAAGAAATAGATGTATTTCTTAAATATAATTTTTATTATAACATTTTTATGTTAATTTTTTTCCATGTAAAACTTTATACAAAGTTTAATTAATTTTGTGAAATTAATTATTTATTTTCTTATGTAAAATATTAATTTAAAAAATATAATTAAATTATATATAATATAAAATATTATATATAAAATATTTATATTAAAGAGAGAGAGAGAATATAATATCGAAGATAAATCATTGATATATGAATTTAATTTTTTATAACAATTTTTATTTTACAACAATTTCAAAGCATATAATCGCGGGAGAGAGAAAAAGAATTAATTAAAAAATATACATAAATGTCGAAAATTGGAAACAATTAATTGTGTATAACATGTACCTTGTGTCGTGCAGTTGTAAGTTTTGTAAGACGTTGAAGTTTAAGATATCTCAATAGCACTTTCAGCAATATAACACTTTGCATCATCATCATCATCATCGATATCGCTTAGCTATATTACTATCGCCTATTTACCGGTATCTGTCATTGATGGATCTCTCTTCAGGCCTTCTTGCCGATCATTAATAATTCATCTGTCATCATCCTCAGTAGCCGCCGTAATAATAGCGGGACTGTCAGCAGCAGCGGGTAACAAACTAGCAGTGTTCATATCTAGGAATCGAATCCTAAACCTCTTGCCCACCGCGAATCCAATCTTCAGTAGCCTTCTCCATTTCACTTATTTGCATATAAAGGCATTCCTTCGCTTTGCGAACTCTCGTGGTCGTCGTAATCGCGTAACTGTAAGTTTTTGTTAATAAAGTTTGTCAATATATTCAGTGGTGATGTTGATGTGTATGGTATATAACTTTTTATTGATTTTTTGGCTATTAATATTTACTATATATTAATATCTTAATTTTTTTCATAATTAATTTACGTAAAGATTTATATTAAGATCTATATAAGAGATATAACTGAATTTTATCGACAAACTTTAAGGAATTGTTCGGAGGAAGTTCATTTTGAGATAAGGAATCACCGTTAGAGTTCTAGTTTGAAGTTATAAGATTTACATAATATTAATTATAATCAATTTAAATCTGGCAATTAATTAAATCAAAATTAGACCGACGAGAATAAATTAATAGAAATAATACTAGTTTTGGTCAAAGCGGATCTTGGTGTTTAAAATGATACTAAATGCAACAAATATATTATTTCAGTTTTATAAACCGTATGCTGATAAGGCTTGTCGAACTTAAAACGCAATTGCAAACTGAAATTAATATTTCAAATTAGATTGTCGTCTATTTTAATAGTGAAACCAATAAGCCTCTTAAAAGACCCATTTTGACAAAAAATAGAATTATTTACATTAATATTAAATAGAATATTAAATATTAATAAATTATAATAATTTAATAACATTTAAACATTATTAAAGTATTATATATAACCCTGTCTCTCTTACAAGGCCACATTCCGATATACACTGTCAGTAATGAAAATTTATGATATACATAACTATAAATTTTCAATACTGGCAATATATAGGTATTGATCCAATTATGTGATTATTATCGCTCCGATGCGCACTAGAACAGGTACGTTAGTCCATGGTGCTGTACATTTTGTCGCGATGTTTGTAGCATTTTCAACACCTGTTGTATCCTATAATAATTAAATGCACCTTAAAGAAATTATGTGTGTGTTCTACTGACTTTTAATATAACTCAACATAACATGTTTTTTCGATAATTTAATAAAGGGACTTTAACACCCATGAGTTCTTATACTTTCTCCGAACATTCTCTTAAAGTTTGTCAGTAGAGTTCAGTTACATTCTGTATAAAGAGCATATTATAATACATGTTACGCTAAATATTTATGATATGACTTTTTATCATGGATAGTTCGGAATCGGACTACAGATAATACCAGTCACATAAATAATAAGTGGGTATAAACAACACAGAATATATTACCTTTCTGCATCGTAATTCATAATGTTTACCTCGCTAACAACTCATATGTGTGCATAAGGATCTTTCTGGAAACATGATATCTTTGAAAAATAAATCAACGGGTTTCGAACGGTATAATTTTCATATCACTGTATTGTTTATTGCATCATACATACTAGTGTTGCAAGACAAGAATATATAGAATTTTAATGGAATATAATTTATGACTATTTTACATTGAAAATAACCGCAGTCGCACGATATCTTCTCCTTCGATAACATAATCGGCATTTCTCTTTATAATATATATTAATTTTAATAATATGTCGATATATATAGCAATGCTTTCAATTTTAAGTTTCTGATAATTTAAGTACCTTAAATAAGGATCTTTGTCACATTTAATTAACTACCAAATTTAATTTGGGAATTGAATATAATTTATGATATCATTCATAAATCAACGATAATTATCGCGTCAATCAAGATCAGGCAGTGGAGATGCTTCGATATTACGTGAGCTCGTAACCCTGCTTTACGTAATTGCGACGAGCATGATAGCTCGGTCAGCATAGGTTCGTCAATAACTCGGATGCTATTAACATTCCCGTCCCGCCGAGTTAAGTTAGGTTAGTTACCAGGTTAACCTTACAAAACTGCTCGGGTCAGTCTTGAACAAGCCTGTAGGTCGGTAAGTATGTGGAAAGACCTCTCACGGCCTCCGGGCGATGAAGCCGCCCATGAATTTCGGCTAATGAGAACATTTGGAGATACGTCAGTTCCAGTATGCTAATGGCCATACAGATGCCGATACAATTTCAAGATGAATCTGTCTCCATCTTTCTTCCTCTTCCTCTCTCTCGTTCATTCGATGTATCCTCGTACCCCCGCATCTACCTCCCTATACTGCCGAACCGTTCCTATATTATAGCTGTCCACTGTATATCTCTACTTTAGCTATATCTTTCGTAGGGACAACGGTCCGCTGCGTATACTTTATGCAAATAAATGTATATTCTCTCTAATTAAACGCGGCCGGTTGCTAAGAAACTGTCGCACGTGCAATGAAGTCTTTCAGCTGCAACGAGTGATCGATAGTACCTCTATTTCTGACATCACCTTGCCCCCTTGAAATGTTAGGGAGGATGTCATTACAGAGTAACAAAAACAATGTAGACATCCAAGTATTTTTATTTTATTTATTCGTTTTTACTAATATATATTAACTTTGATCTCTCTGAAGTCTTCAACTTATTCTTCATCTTTTTCTAATTCTTAAGAACGGAAGAACAAAATCTTGCATAACGTATAACGCATAATACATAAGAAAATAAACCGCAATAAAATTTTTTCATTTTTTATCTTTCTATGAAGTAAAAGACTCTGGTTGATTTTTTTGCTTTATGTGTTATGTAAAGGTTTGTGCTCCGGCTTTAAAACTAGAAAAAGATGAAGAGTTGAATCGAGATTAAAATCAAATTAATAATGTATCGATATAAACAAGAAATGGAGATTCAACTAAAAAAAGGCAAATAATATTCTCCTATTTAAACATTTTATCTTAAAAGCATATAATTTAAAATTCCAATACGTATTACACAAGATAGATTTTGATTGCAAAATTGTTGACATAAACTAACAGTAGGAGAAGTATTATTGAAGATTATTAATAAAGATTCGAAAGTGTGAACGTGGAATTTTATTTAGATTATATCTGATCAGTCCTCGGCGATTCTTTCTGGTTTTGGAGAAAGTGTGCTGGCATAAAAAATAAATGAAAAAAAGAACCGACATAATCGAGGATCGAG